AGAAAGCCAGTGGAAGTATACATGGCATATCCTTGTAACAACACCCCTGTGTACTACGCCCTTGTTGCGTTGGATCACTCTTGTTTTTTGCTCAAGTTTTTGCTTTGCAGGTTAAAGGGAGATCAAGTGCGAACAAATTTTTGACAATTTTTCGTGGAACTCTACTCATTCGTGGTTGCAAGCTTTTGAATGATGTCCAGAATAATGTAACAACACATGCCANACCAAGAAAGCCAGTGGAAGTATACATGGCATATATATGTATGTAAGACCAGGGAGGAGAGGAAAAAGCATCGGGAGCCGTAGCTGCGTATATTGTGCCGGTTTGGTACGAGTTTTGGGCTTCTGCTCCCTTTCGGCGCCGGAGCACATCCACACCCCCTCGGCCCCATTATACGGGGCGCACAGTATACATGCACCGCATAGCCTTCCCGCGAACGCACGGCGTCGGCTCTCATTTGCCCGAGGAGAGCCTCCTCTCTCCGGCAGCTGCACAACCGAGCTCTAGACAGCCGGCAACGCGACTTGCTGCCGTGTGTACACGTATACACTCGTCCGAGCATCTCCTCGTCGTCTCTCTTTCTCTCCCGCTTTCCTTCGCCATCCCCCTCGCTCACTCGCGGCTAGCCACGCGCGCGACTCGGGAAATCGATAAGATCCCGCATTTCCCGAGTACAGTAGCGCGCGGCGCTCGCTAGTCCTTCCACATCTTCCTCCTCCTCCTCCTTTTCATCTGCTGCTTCCACACTACTCGGTCTAGCTCGCTACGATGTGTACACCCTATACGCTCTCTTTGCTTTTTCTGGGCTGCGTGTGTACGTGCCACTGATGGCCGAACGCGAAAATTGGGATGGGGGATCCCTACACTCGCGTGGCGCCGAAAAACCGCGCGCGAGACTCCCTTGCCTCTTTCTCCCCCGCATCATGTTCGCCTTGTTCGGTGCGATTTGCTGTATTGGAAAACTCATTTTCCAAGGGTGGGTTCCTACGGGTTTTACTTTTTGACAAGTGTTGTTCCGATGCACCACGATGACGAGTCGTTTCTTGGGAATTTGGGGACCACCATGTTTTCCGATGAACACTTTTTTTGTATCTTTTGTTATTGTCGCGGGGATTTAAACAAAATTATAGATACATATCAAAAAGTAGAAAATTTGCCTGTTTTTGGGTTTCAAGCGTAGCAATTTAGGTAAAATTTGCTTTACAAGTGATGACGCCACAACCAATAAATATCGTGAGTGAGCTAGATAATACGCGAGCTGCAAGGAAAAAATGTTGAGTCTACTAAAACCTCCGGAAGTAATTACTATGTATGACTTTGGCAGTGGCGTTGTTGTGACGTTTACTTGACAGCATTAAATTTGACAGAGTTGATAAAATGGGTAATATACTCTGCAAATTGATGTTAAAAAATCGTAAAAAATGTTGTCTCTTACTTTATTATTTCGTGTATATTAAGGTTACACTAAAGTTGAGGAATTCAACACAGCTTAGCTCACAGAAAAAATTTTTTAATCAATAATGATAAATAACAACAAATGGTACAATCATCATTGAATATATGTATTGGCATAGAGTTGCAAGTTTATTTTGATCTACCAAAGTGATGTATGGTAAGCCAACTTAAGAGCAAGTTCGTTGCTTTTACTCGAGTGAGGTTTGTTGGGGCAACATCAGTAGACTTTTTTTTAGTCTAATACTAACAGGTGAGGTGAGGGCGGCTGATCAATAAAACCGTATATACATACATATATGCATCATAGTCCCTAAAAATCTTACTATACGTCACAATACTGGTTTATCTACAAGTGAACAGTATGCAGTCCAAAATTCATTGTACTGTACAACTAATTAATAAAGGTAAATATATATGCATGGATCGTTCGAACGCAAAATTTTCTTTTTGGCTTACACTTGCAGTCATTACACTAATTACTTTAGGGTGGTATATCTTAATTTTCAAAATATAGGGTAACTGCAAAGAATCTGGTCTGTTTTCCTCCCCAGCCCTCGCAACTGTAAGCTATAGTTTTTTTCAGAACAAATTCTACCATAACTTTACAGCAATTAGTCAAAGTGTCTCAGACATGTTTTACGCGATTTAAATTACAGTGTCTACTTTTACAGTCACTTTGACATTTTTTAAATACTTTATTATTTCATAAATATACCACACTACACAAAGACAACACAATTTTGTAAATACTGTTCGTCTTTGCAAATGTACACACCGACATACATTAAAAATAATACGTTGCGCATACTTTGATTATAAGTAACATAAATTAAAAAACATAAGCAAACGACGCATGGTATGGCACTACTGTAACGTATAGTATGTTCGATCGCGATACTACAAACTTGTAATTAAAAAAATTTCTAAACTACGTTCATATTTGAAAATATATTTTTAACAATTTGACATGTTCGGCAAAAGTATCTGAAATGTATCATGAGATTACTTCAATTTTTATTCATTCAAACTATGTTAGAAAAAAAAAATTATTTAATAAGAGTTTTCGTTGGCCCAAGCGTCTCATGGGTTTACCAGATGAAAAAATTTTTTCGAATTCTGATGCTTTGAAAATACTTATAATACTTGGTAAAATAACATATTTATTGTTTAAAAAAAACTTTATGTAATTAAAAATAAATACTAATTATTCATTTATTCAAATACTCATTACAACAAGTTGAGCTACCATAAATTATGACGCATGTCATACAGATAGGTTCGAGGACAAGTTAATACAGGTTCAATTGGCGAATTAAAGCAGCTATTTATTTTTAGTTAAACCAGCCTATGTGATAATCAATGTTTTTCACGAATAAAATAAATAGTATAGTCTAGCAGCAGTCTATCATTCTAATGAAAAAAGGAACATCTAAAAAAACACGATAGTCATCATTCTGGTCTTTTTGGCGCGCAAGTATGTGTGGCTGTGAATGTGTGAGAGAGGGCCAGGGAGAGGGTTACATGTGTGTGGTGCAAGTGCAACCCCTATACATGTCCGGCGTTACGTAGTATAATTTCTGAGTGGAGCAACGAAGGTCTTTATGTGTATGTCGAATTCCACCGGAGGAAAATCGATGAACACCGCCACACTGACGCGGCGTGGCGTGCTTACAATGCAGCAGCAGCGCAGGATTTTTTTTTGTGTATAATTGTATCGTTGGAAAATTACAAGGGGGTATTTTCCACAGCGTGCGTTGCTGTACGGTCTTTACTCAAAAATTGTACAGTTTTTTTACGATACGCGATTCGGATATTGCAGTATAAGCTGATTATGACTAAATAAACGTTTATGCATGATTTGGTTGATAACAATTTTGATTACACGCATATATTTTTACTTCAATGTCACCCTCGTAGCAATTAAATCGACACGAATATGCAGTCACGCATGTATACAACAAATTGATGATCACATACCGTACTTAGGGAGTATCCTTGTGTAAATTGAGACATTGAGTATTGAGTACATAAAATTTAACAGCAAGCAAGCTAAACTCAAATAAGCTTTTTAATCATAAAAATGCGCTACAGCTAACCAAATAAGTTTAATACAAAAGCAGAAAACAATATAGTAAAAGCAAACAAGTATTCGTTTTCTCATATTTTGTTAAATATTTTGGTTTACTTCGTGTTTGCTGTTTTTTTTTTTTTTTGGCGTTTAAAGAAAACAAAAAGTTTTAATCGAGTGAAAAATCACGTCACAACTCATGCTACTTCTAAATAATTTCATCACTATCAGAACAAGTTTCTTAGAATTACTTTATGATAATACAGCGAAAGCTGTACTACGAGCTTGTACTTTTTTACTTCACGGTGAAAAACAAGCCTTCGACTTTTTTTATAATTTTCAAAGATACCGAACAGCAGAGTTGTTTTTTAATTGAAAGCTAGTGTTTAAATTTATGTAAAAGGCTGAACTTTTACGTGATAGGCACGGCTTGATAAATTTATCGTCAGAGTAAAAAGTGTAGCTTTAACACAAATCTAAATAATTAGGCTACAACAGTGTACTAACAAATCATGGTATTAGTATATTTTTTGATGATCTACAACTTTTCGATTTCAAAATTTATTTTTAAACAAGGTTTTAAATGTCAAATTTGTATCGAAATCGGCCAAAAACTACTTTTTTGTTATTATATTTTTTTTCCTTTTACGTCATTAGGATTGTGTTATAAAAATCTATTGAACAAAAAAATTTTGTTTTAATAAGATCTACAAATTTTCTCATGTATGTAAAATGCAAGATGTCAAAGTTATAGTCAAATAGTAGGTTTTCATCAATTTTTTAAGCATAAAGACGGTTCTCAAAAAAAAATAAAAATATGTATTTTTCAGAGATATAGAACTTTCATTTTAAGGTGAAGGGTGTATGACTGACTTTCAGTTATATTCAAAAAAACACTCAGCTTTTGAAAATTTGCTTTTTGGCTATAACGACATTAAAAAAAATTTTTTTTGGGTCTTTAAAAGTTGTTAAAAATTGTGTTTTATTGAGATCTACATTTTTTTCGACTGGATATGGATTTATAATCTTAGTCTAAAAAGTTACATGCAAAATAGTACTGTCAGCTTGTAACGTGAAAACGAAGCTGCAAACCAAATTTAAGATCTATTGGGGGTAAACTTTAAAAGATAGTCGATTTACATGTCTTCTCAAGTTTATACATATACTTAGGCACTTTATGGGCATCACTTGGATAACCCCATATCACCTCATATTATGTTCAAAACTTGTTTCACACCAAAAATATACGATTTAGACATCGTTACACTTTTTGCTCTGATTAAAATACAAGCGAGTATAAGGCACTTTAGTGAAGCAGTCGTGCCAAATAACATATCTTCATTTAGTTCTGGACTAAGTACTTCTCACCAACCAAGATAATACAAAAACGACACGTATCCAATTTAGACCGAAGAGAAAAGCAAAAAATAAAACTCAACATTATTAAAAATGATACAAGATATTAAAAAAACTCACATTGGTGCTTATCGGCAAGGACGATGAGAGGCGCTGGCAAGTCCCTCCGCCTGAAGAAGCACATGACTTTTGCTTCGACGTTTCCGCTGGCCGTCTGTAAAATCAAGACAGAGTACATTTTTTTTTTTTTTTTTTTTTTTTTTTGTTCAAGAGTAACATTTTTTGAATGATATTTTTAGTAACCACAGCCAAAAGAAAGAGGGGTGAGGGGTTATGAAGTGACAACATTCACAACATACTTTTCACTTGACTTACTATGGCAATTAAAAACCAGTGAAATTTTTCGGACATCTATCGGTGTCCACTAAAATAAAGTGTACATTTGATTACTGCATTGACAGTGGCCGGATATTAACTAGGTTTCAGTGATATTTCACTTGTTTTAATTTAAAGGATATGCAAATACGCAAAAATTCGGTGTTTCGCAAGTAATAAGAGACAGCCCAACCAGCTCTTTACTTACACCACATAAACAAACAGGTGAGGGAAGACTCGCGACGGCTCTGATTTTTTGGTTGTAATTAACAATTTGCCCACCCTAGTATAAATTTGAGCTTTTCTGCTAGTAAACTGAGTAGTTCTTACCAACTTAAGCTGGACAGCTCTTACTGCCCTAATCGGCGATCGAGCCGGCAATTAGACGATAAACTTGGTAACAACTGGGCAATACCTCAGTAGTGAATATGTATAACGTGACTTAACCTCACACTGCATATTAAATGAACGTAAAAAAAAAATTATTTACACAGTTAATTAAGCAATAGTGATTCTCAAAAGTAATGAAACATTCAGTTTACAAAATTATTGAGAATGTGTACTCTGATTGTTAGTTATTACTGCACTGTTGCAGCTGTAGAGCTGTTGGTTGAAGGAAAGAGTGAGACAGACAGAGAGACTACACGAGCAGAAGACGGCACCGTACCTTGCCAAGCCTGTTGTCGAGTTTATCGTCAGCATATCGGAATATAATGTAGTAAGATAGGCCATAATTAGGTATAGTCGATAAAATCGTCGATTGGCCATAATATCGTAATGCTGGCCAGAAATTGTAGTAAATTTCTACCAGGGCGCAACTACAAGATAAATTGTACAAGTAACTATTCAACATACCAATTACTATTTCTTTGGCGGTATGTTATATTTTGGGTCCTTACACTCAAATGCGATAACTGCGATAAGAGTAAAGAATAAGTAAACAACAGGAATGGAAGGAATATTAGCCGTCGTAGGAATAAGCAGAATAATGTTACGATATAATTTTTTGAAAACACCAGTCGGGATGTCAGGCATGTCCAACTGATATTTTAAAAAAAAGAACAGTAAATATCAAGCTATTCTTCTAATTCTCACTGATAGGGATAATTCACCCAATTACTTGAAATTTTCGACTGTGCTAAATTGTTTATTTCTCTATGTTTTTCGATATAAATCGAAGTAGTTTAATTTTATTATTAAATGCAGCATCTTGTGCGATAAAAACAAATAATATTTTTCTGTCATATTACTTATTTTTTTACTTCAAATAATCATTTTAGTGTTGATATTATTTGCTTTTATTACTGCGCATATTTATGAAATCAGCATTAGTTACTGCACGGATATTTCCCATAAGGTTTTCATATTAAAGCCCAGATCTAATTACTGCAAACGACCTCGAAGCTTTATGAGTTGGATTCGTTTAAAGTTTATTTAAACTATGAAGTATTTCATGATGTAAAGTATAATTCTGGACTAAACGTTATTAATGTCCAAACGTGTGATTTTGTTTCAGCACACGAATCGAGACACGAATCATCAAGTCTGTTTTTCTTATTTATTACTAACGAGAGTTTACATTAGGTTTAAGGGGTGACGATAAAAAAATGAATTTGATAGTTAAACTTGAAGTGATGTCCAGCATTCAAACTTGTTTCCGTGTCTATTACGTTAACCATGGAACCAAAGATCCCCTCCCCTCAAGCACTTTGGTTCCTCCATTTAAACGATATTCTAATTTATTGTATAAATTTTAATATTAACATACCTTGTTTAGTTCCTCTATCCTTCGTATTTGGTACGGAGACGACGAGGATGTCTCAAAATAGACATAGTCTGTAACAGAACGAAAAAAATCATATGAAAAATGAATTTCGTTTCCCAATAATAATGTATGTTAAAGAAACTCTTATCTTAATTTTTATTAGCGAATTTTTTACTATAACGACTAGATGTAATTACTTTTGCATGTTTTATAGATAAATAAACAAATTAAGAAATAACCAACTCTGGTGTTCTGTTTTTTGTTTGTACTTTAAAAATATGTCACAAAAGTTCAAAAAATATGATGGGGCAAAACGACCATGAATTATTCAGTACAAGCCACTAAAGATAATTTTTTTCCGATTGTATTTATATACATTTTTATAACAATTTAACCTTAAGCAACACGCATCCAACTATAATTTTTTTTTTTATTTTACAGCTATTCTATAGAATTGTGCGTGTAACTACTTTACATATACACATATGCATATACATATATAATATATATGCTATTTTTGTTGGCCAAAATCAATATTTCTGCGAGAACAAGAACAGTTAGTTGTTACTGTCAGCACTAAACTCCAGTGATTTCTATATATTGCATGCACTTTTAAGTCTGTAAAGTTGGTAGAATAGCTGAATCTGCATATAAAAATAACAGTTGTGTTATATTTTTACACAATAAATAAAGCTCTGCCAACAGTTCGATGAGCGTTGTGTAAGTCTGCAATACACGACATCTATCCGTGGTTCTCGTAAATACATTTCAGTAGCCTCAGAATTTCTAGAATGAGGTTTGATAAATAGAGGGGGGGGGGGTTGGAATAGAATAATAACCTAAACCGCTAAGTAACTTTGTTAACGGATGTTTGAAGAATATTCAAGAAATTTGGTAATATTTAAATTGTTCGTTTTTCATATGGTTTTCCAGGATTGAAACCTGCTATTTTATAAGTTTTTCGAATTGAAAAATGATATATTTATCAGAAACTTAAAATTTCAGAGAAATATTCCGAGACATTTTTTATTTACAATCATCCCATAGAGATAAAACAAATTTCTGGGACATAATGTTTTTGAAATACAATGAGAGATGGTTTATGAAACCGTCTGCTGTTTCAGTTTTTCGATGGATGTAATCCTCAACAGTTATGCTGAAAATTTTGGGCCTAGCAAGTGGTCACCATTTAGAGTTATGCCAAAAAACCGAAAATTCGTGTTTGTATCTGATAGAGGCATAGTAAGTATATGAGATCATAGTTCCAGAAACCATTGAAAAACTTGGTTAGTTGTCTTGAAGAGACAGGATTTTGACAAGTAAGTAGTCAGGGACACTTTTTTCGGTATTGATAAAAATTCTACACTTCACGAAATTTTTGTTTATTTGTAAAAAAACGACAATAACCTATACAAGTATCAAAGGTGTCTGCTTCTTTATTAACAAAATTCATTTATATTTAATAAATATACAAAGTTCCTTCTTTAAATTTTTTGAAGAGTATTAAGATTAATGAATTTAAATAAATAATCATAGCATTTTTTTTACAAAATAGAAAATCGAAAGTCGGTAAATAATATGACATAATATATCCATACACGCATTTAGCGTAATTGTGAAGGCGGAAGCAGCCAAGTGTGCTGTATGTAACAGTAGTGGCGGTGGCAACTGATGACGTGTATGAGTGGTACGGTACGTGTGTGCTTAGAGAGCAGGCGGGTGTAGTAGGACTGTAGGATCTGAGGTAGCCGAGTGCTGGGTACAGTTTCTATATTTATATATACATATATACATGCGACGTGATACGCTACACTTACGATACTTGACCACTCTCTCCCACTGACAATAAGTACAACACACTGTGGCTTATACGCTCGAGAGGGAGGGAAGTATAGTATGCAGGTGTGGTGGTACTCTTTTTTCGAATTATGTTTGTTGAATACAAAATTTTTTCTGAATCGATTACAGGACTCCGCATCGAAATTAATAAAAATATAAGGTATATAAAACAATCAGATAGACTAGTGCGCTGAAATGCGAGATACTATTTCATTACTATGAAACGAATGCGTGAAGCCAGTGAAATAATCTCGTCTCGCTCGGATGATAATCATCACATCAAGAGTGAAATAACACACGAAAGCCATGCATAGGCTATTTTTGGACAATCATCTGTAAAATATCAACTTCTGATGCTTGCTTGTGCATCAAAAGGCGAACGCTCGCACGCAAAGTAATGACTTCAGGCGATAAAATTATTATCAACTATTATCGACTGCTATTGTAGATTCGCGAGAGAAGTTTGAGTGGTGGAAGATTACAAAGAAGTAAATGAGTATTCTTTGACGATTAAAAAAATCGAATTCGGCTAAAAAAGGAATATTTGGAAACGACCCGTACTTTTGACTCTAGCAGAAGTAAGCATCAGGTCAATGTTGACTACGGTTGGCTTTACTTAGTCCCCTTCAGGAACTAGCTTCTAACTACGCTGAACGACAATTCCTTCACTAACAACCTTGACCATTAGGGCAGTGTTTCCTCTGTGACCAGCACGATAACTACTAAGTCAACGCCATTCCCTATAGTACTTAATTACATTTCCGGCGGTACCTTTTTTTACTGTATAGCTTTGTCATTGTCTGACCACGCAGTATCGATATTACGTTTTGGTGAGAAGTGAATTAATTGTTTTTAATACTTTTGAAAATTCGTCAACGAGTAAAAATAAACTTTGAAACGAGAACGTAGCATTTTTGATAAAAATTTCCTACTCATGGTTATGTAGCTGTAGAACACAGATAAAAGGTTGGAAAAGGAAAATCGAAATAGCGTCGCGCCGTACGTGTACGCATACGGCAGTGGCAGAGAGATAAAAAAAAGATGATACATTAAAATCGAATGAACGTAATAAAAGAGAGATAGCAAAGAGTGTCCGAGCCCAACTGATTCAGTGCGCAAGTGTATGTGTATGTCTTTTTATTCTTAATCTTTTCTTCCTCAAAATGCAGATACTTGGCGAGTATAATGTATGTAACGTATTGTATACGTAGAAAGGAATTTTTCGTCCATGTATTATGGTCTTTGGGGATATTGAAAACGATTAAAAATATCTTCTTTTGTTTGGAAATCACATACCCGCATCTATACATAAACATGCACTCGAACACACATAATATTCCGGTTTAAGGCTATCTTACAATAGTATTCGTGAAAAATTTTCATTTACCATATTTGGTTATGGTATGATCAAAAACATATTTTTGAATGGAATCAACCTGTTAGAGATATTTCGTTTTACATTTTGTAATCGAGACAAATTGTTGGTTGAAATTTATAATATCTAAAACGGTACCATATTTTGCAAAACACGCTATTATTCGCTCCGAGCCGATACAGAGGTTGCGCCCCCTCTAACCAAAATCAGGCAACATTTCTTGCATGTAAACAAACGGTTTAGAACATATATACATACGTACAGCTGCTTGTGATTGGCACTTGGCAAGCTAGAGAGAGAACGACGATCCTCTCCTGCTGTCTTATTCAGCCAATCACAAGCAGCTATACGTATGTGTATATGTTCTAAACCGTTTGTTTACATGCAAGAAATGTTGCCTGATTTTGGCTAGAGGGGGCGCAACCTCTGCATCGGCTCGGAGCGAATAAATTGGGCCTGTAAGGCCATACAAAGACAGATTGTATATTATGTCACAACACTATGATTTTGCAGTAACATGAAAATTTGTAAAGAAAAATTGATATAGGGACATATATAGCGTTAAAAGGGCATGTTGGACACCGCTAACCGACAGCTGTGTGGGGATAGAGGTTAGGTTGTCCCAGGGGTACAAAAGGCTGTACAAAGGGGGGAACCATAGTATACATTCTATATACACGCTTGACTCTCTGCAGGTGCCTGTGTTGAATGGTATTCCACGGCGTCGTTTGGACACGCAAATTTAAATAAGTGACAAAGTCACGTGACTACGAAACCATTACGAAACAGTTTATGTTTATATGCTTGTTAAGTCTCTCCAAAATGTAAAAAATAAATGATACAACTTTCAACGTACTATAAAACTACTCAGCATCATTTAACAATCAATTGTTAGTTACGACACATTATGCTTCAATTTTTCAAGACGTGAAATTTTGCGAAATAGACTTTATCATCTTACTTCACCAGGACTTGCTCTTTAGAACGAGCTCAAACGGGGTCTCTGCCCTGCTTACTCAACTTTGGATCGTTTTAATCATACCGTTTTTAGGACATTCTTAGATTGAGAGAATTGCAAATGTTTGGCTACTAAAGCACATGAATCAAAAAAGCAAAAAGGATCAAGAGAAAAAAGTACTTGTGGTGCGAGAGAAAACAAATATACAATAAGAGTGCTTATCAAGTATACATATATACAGTCTGTGCGAGCATGTTCGTCGCCTGTTCCATGGCTATATATGTTGAGATATGGTACTGCGCGTGGTACTGCGCATCTAACGGATATTTTGTGCGCACAGACTTTGGAGAAATAGGTAGGGAGCAGCAGTACAAATGAACGCGCAAACGAGAGAGAGAGAGAGAGAGAGAGAGAGAGAGAGAGAGAGAGAGAGAGAGAGGCAACCGTTTGGGGAGAAGAAAAAGGAAACGAAGAAGCGCAAATGGTGCAGTGAACAAAAAAAAAGGGGGGGGGGTAAAGAAGAGGTGGACGTCGACGTCGACGTGAGAGCAATAAAATGTTGAAGACATGGAAGGAGCAATGTACCGACCACGAATTTGCAAAAACAGCAGGATCGCGATCATTGCATTTAAAAATGCGCATATAAAAGGTATACGTATATACACGTACTTAGGTTATACATATGAAAGCAGAAAAACATCAAGGTAGAGAAGAAATACGGTAGAAGAACAATGAAAAATAAATAAATAACAAAAAAAAATCAACAAAACAAAGCCGAAATAAATAACAAAGAAATGGCCAAAAAATGAACTAGTTTCCCTACACGGTAGACGCCGGTAGACGCATGGGACATACGTATAGGGGATAGTGTGTGCGCTTATACTTAATATATGTAGTCA